GAAGAGTGCAAATTTTGTATTTGTATATTGATCGGAAAAGTAATAGTCGTGGTAACATTACAATAATCGATATGTTCATCATACTATACTTTTTAAATTCTATTTTAATTTGATGTGTGATATTTGTATTGAATTCAGATTTGTTCGAATATATATCAGTTACCACGAGGTAAGTAAGACCATTAATGAGAAAGTGTGCCCTACTATGTTTTTCTTTTTTATTACAAAATAATTTGAAGCTTTTAATTAAGAGCAAAGAACTGTATTTATACGCTTACATATTATTAGAATTTGAATGACTATGCTTTTATCGTAAGTCTAGAAAAATAAATTCGAACATGCATATTTTTTTTTAAAAGAATATTTTATCTGATTTTAAAATATTCGTATTCCTAATTATGAGAATACAAATTAAATAGGAGTGACTATCGTACTTTTGGCTTATGTATGAAAACTAAAGAAAGGAAGAAAAAAAAAGAATTAAAAAAATAGTGTTCGTATATTTTTTTTAATTACTTCCTTTGTTTAGTTTGACAAAAGAAAATAAATGTAAAAAAATAGTTACTACTTTTAATAGTTAAATAAAAATTAAGGAAAATAAAGAAAATAATTACATTATCATGTAATCGCGTACGAATATAGCTACCTTCAAGATAGCTATATATGCATAACAATTGATTTGGTATGATCGCGTTATTATTTAATATTTTTTTCACGATGTTTTTACTTATTATTTAATAATTCATAATTTATTATTTATCCTACTTTTTAATAGTAACTTTACCTTTTTTTTAGATTTATCATTCAAATTATTGATGTATAACATTATGTAACGATATAGAACGATACAATATATTCAAATTATTATACTTAATAAAGCAATACAATAGGACACAATATATTCACATATTATACTCAATAAAGTACAATACGATACAATACGGTATAACACAATATGATAAATAATATAATATAATATATAATAAAACAATACGTAACAACCGTCCAAACATCACAATATAAGTGTAGAAATTGAACTCGTTTATCAAATGGGCCTAATTACCTTATAAAATAATATAATGTTAGTTTAATTTGGAGTAATTATTGATTAAGAAGTTTTTGACAAAGTATCACGCTTCATATTTTCCACACGTTAACGTGTTATATTTTAGTTAAAAACCAAATGAAACATCAAGTGGGCATAACTTATAACCGAAGTGACGGAGTTAGCATTTTTATTAATAGAGTTTAATTTACGAAAAAAGTTAATACACAAAAAAATCGAAAGAAACTTTAACACTTACTTTACATATATAAAAATAATTTCAAACACATATAACAACATAATTTTTTATCGATGAACCCTCTTCAGTTCGGCCATACTTCGCTCTGCCCTTGCTTATTATAAATGACAAGGGCACGGAATGAGAATTTGAACCTTATGAATTTTGAATACCACATTAATTTTTAAGTTCAATGTATATTCACTAAAAAAATTTAACAAACACAAAATTTAAATCAAATTTATTCGGTTCGAGCTAATTTTTTTATCTCCTATAAATATAAATTATGCTAAATAATCTAACGTGTGGATTTTATAAATTGCAAAGTCAATTTTTGAGGCATTTTGATAAAGATATTGTTCCGTCAATTAAGGGGTTAGTTGTTTTTACTAATATTATTAATTATTATCTTATTTTTATATATTTATTTTAATTTATTAATGCCCAAGAATCATACAGTTTCCATTTGGAAGTTATCCACTTTGGTCCTTTGTTTTTTTTTATTTCGCCTAGTGTCCGGTGTTATCTGACTCCGATTAATTTGAATATACATTATAATTTATATGATATTTTTGAATTTTGAGATTTAAATAAGTTTTCTAATTATAAATTTGCATATGTCTTCTATATTTTTGAATATTTAAGAATAAATAACTAAAGCCTTCGAAAAAATGTAAAAGATAAGAAAAATTAAATAATATGGAGGGTATTTTGGTAAACTAACAATTTATTCTTAGAAATTATGTAATGAATACAAGTTTGAATACGATGAACCAAACTGATCCCAACATAACTAATCCAGTAGGACTTATTCCGACATAACTTATATTCGAGCCAAACGAAACCTTGTATTATAATATTACAAACCCTCTATGAATTTCTTGATATTGTCATGTGAAGAACCTCCAATTTTCAAAGCATCCAAAGCCAAATTTCTCCATTTCTTCACATTCTTTTTAATTTCTTCCCCTTTTTCTCCATTTTCCATTAAAATTCCCAAACACCTCTTTAACTCTTCTTTTTTTACAAGTCCTTCCACTTCTTTTACTCTAACTCCAATTCCCCAAACTTCCTCCAACATTTTGGCATTTGTTGTTTGGTCAGAAAATTGTGGATACCCCACAATAGGTACCCCACTCACCAGACTTTCTAGAGTCGAATTCCATCCACAGTGTGTAACAAAACACCCTATCGACTTATGACATAGTACCTCCATTTGTGAACACCATGGCACAATTAAACCTAATTTTTCATCTGTTATGACATCGTCACATTCAAGATTCTTCTTTTTTCCTTCGTCTTCCCCTTTTCTCCTCGTCCATAAAAAAGGCCTTTCACTTTCTAATAATCCGCGTAAAATTTCTCTCTCTTGTTCTTTCTTTAACACGGCTAAGCTCCCGAACGATACATACACAACAGAGCCCTCATGTCTCGAATCCAACCATTGATGATAGTTTTTTTCGGGTTTATCAAATAATTCACATCCAAATGACTTGTCCTTAGGGTCATTTCCGTCAGAAAAAGCTGAGGGAACCAAAGGGCCTATCGAAAACAACCTGAATTTATCGATAACTCTCATGGATTTTTCTTCTAACGCGTTGAACGTGTTGATGAGTACATAAGAATTTGGATCATTTTCAAGATTTTGTATGTGTTCTCTCAAAATAGGTATCATGATTGAAGAAAGATGATTATTAGGTAAAACTATAGTAGGAATATCATTGCATGAAAATAAGGGCAATTCCGGAATTTCAATTGGAAAGGAGGGCATAACCGTAAAATCGCTAGAGGAGTTACTATAAACTCCGTTAGTGGAATTTAACAAATGGTAATAAATTGCAAAAGCAGTACCACATTGAATGACAAGAAAAGCTGACGGCACGTGTATCTCACGCGCCACCACCGCAACCCACGGCAAGAGAATTGTGTAGACCAAGAACGTAACGGGGTGACCCTCGTCGGAATATTTTCGAACGAGATCTCTGAGGTTTTTCGATCCGTTTATCTTTAAATCGTTCATGAAATAATCGACTGTGCTGTTCGAATTCATCCAAGAGTCATCGTCGCACCCATCGGAGAACGAGGAATAGAATAGCCCGTCTTGTGTTGGAAGGTTGTTCATTCGACTAAGGCCGTAAACGGTCGTGATGAAGGTGGCGCGTGCACCGGCGCGTGCTAGGTTTTTGGCTAGTTGGAGAGTGGGGTTTATGTGGCCTTGTGCAGGCAAAGAAATAACAAGGAAATGTTGTTTATTCATGTTTGATTAATATAATATGATAATTAAGTGGGTTCAAATTTTATGATTGTGAAATTTATGAGATGTTATACATATATATATAGGGGGTGTCAAAAGGTAAAAAGTCCACTAGTCGAGTGTGTACATTAAATTAATAAATATAATTAATGATAAAATTAATATTACTTTTGACTAAAATATAAATACTTTTGGGCTAAAAGATTTAGTGCATAATGGAGTGTTTAAACTCGTTTGGATTGACTGAAATGATTTTTAATTAAAATAAATAAAAAGTAGAGGGAGATTTGCTTTTGATTTTTGATTTAATTTAAGTCATTTTGATTTTGCCAAACGCTTCCTAACTTATTTTAAGTAATTTTTTATATTTTTCAAACACTTTTAAAAGTCAAAAACCGATTTAAAAATATATTTAACCAATTTTTAATTCAATCCATATATCCTCAAAGAGGATTCAGAATATAGAAGTAAACACGTGAATGAAAGAAGCAAATAAAATTCAGAATCTACAATACATACATAAATAATATTTCAATCTTTATATATCCAGTATAATATTCTGACAAGCTGTCTTGATGTATATATGCACACAAATTTGTACAAGAAACGTATAAAATCGAATCGAAAAGATAAAATCGAATCGAAAAGATAAAATCAAACCGGAAATCAAGTAAAGTCGAAAAAATAATCTTTGTTTTTATCGATTAATGGTAAGAACTATATTGTCTAATTTATTTGTTCTTTATAAAGACTTTTAAGCTAGTTAGAATCTTGTTTGATGCATATATACATATTTATCTTTGGTTTTCTCAATAACTAACAAGATCTAGCTGTTCTAGTTTGTCACTTAGTAGAGAACTTGTTCTCATAGAGGGGGACGGCCAATACTCACTCTTACGTCGAAGAATTACACTATATATATAAATTAAAGATCTCAACATTAAATATTAAACTTATCAAATTTTAATTTTAAATTCTGCTTCTATGTGAAAAAAACAGGAATAAAGGTGCAAGTGAATGAAGCTGATCTTGTATTACATATAAATGAATTGATAATATAATGTGTAGAAGTTAGGTTAAGAATTAGTATAATAAGAGTGATTATTATGTATACTGAATATGTGTTCTGCTTTTGAATCGATCAGATATATCACTTTACTCGATGTATATAAATATACACGATATATCGAGACGTCGATTGATGTATTTAAAATCGAGATGAAATATATTAAGAAATTACGTAATATATTTAAAATCGAAACACGATGTATCAAAATCCGACCAAATTTAAGTCCCATCACTTGTCATTTATGACACATAAAATGATCCCTTTGTACTCTCCAATCTAATGGTAGTTGCACTCCCCATTCCACGTACAAATGTGCCACCCCCCACACAATATTATGTTTATGTGTTATATATATATATATATATATATATATATTATATGAGCAAATCAACTATCCATCAAAAATACAAAACCAATAAAAATAATAGCAAGTTTATTTTTTTTCCAAAAAATAATGATGAAGCCTCATGTTATTGTAACAACATTTCCAGCACAAGGTCATATTAATCCAGCACTACAATTTGCTAAAAATCTTGTAAAAAATGGCATACAAGTGACATTTTCTACAAGTATTTATGCACAAAGACTTATGGATGAAAAAAAATCCATTGATAATTTTCCAAAGGGGTTAATGAATTTTGTTCCATTTTCTGATGGATTTGATGATGGATTTGATCATTCAAAAGATCCTGTATTTTATATGTCACAACTTAGAAAATGTGGAAGTCAAACTGTCAAAAATATTATCATCAATTGTTCTGAAAATGGGAGTCCTATAACTTGCCTACTTTACTCCATTTTTCTTCCTTGGGCAGCAGAGGTAATTTTCCTTCTTGATTATTACTTAGTGCGTTCGGTCTGTCTCCACACATCTCGACTATTTTCACAGGTTATCTACTATCTCCTATCAGCACATTCTTGATTATATATACGAATAATAGTACTTTGAGTCTCTCGGTTATAAGTAAATTTTTTATTTTTGATCCTTATATGACATGACTATGTTGAATATTGAACTTTCGATTAATTGAAATTATAAATCGCTATGCTATTTTATTACTCATGTGTTATGTTAAGTTTGTAATTATCAAATTTACTTTTAAAAATAGTTTAAATATAATATATTTCCTAGCTAAAGGGGAAAAAAAAGACATTTTTATTATTTAAAAGTTAAATATATTCGATTAGTCAAATATATTATTACTAAGAACTATGTACCAAAAGTACTATTATCCCTTATTTTCATTATGTCTCAACTTTTAGCATGTTCCCCTACGTGTTCTAGTGGGCTAAACACGTCCTTCTATATGTAATGTTAAATTGTTTTAATTATATTATGTCTCAACTTTTAGCATGTCTCCCTATATGTTTTCGACTTTGTTTCATTTTCATGGGCTAAACACGTCCTTCTATATGTAATGTTGAATTATTTTAATAATATTATGTCTGAACAGGTCGCACGTGAAGTCAACATTCCTTCAGCTCTTCTTTGGAGTCAACCAGCTACAATCTTAGACATATATTATTTCAACTTTCATGGATATGAAAAAGAAATGTCTAATGAATCAAATGATCCAAATTGGTCCATTCAACTTCCTCACCTTCCACAATTAAAAACTAAAGATCTTCCTTCATTTTTACTTCCATCAAATGCTAAAGGAAGCCTTAGAGTTGCACTTCCACCTTTCAAAGAATTAATAAACACATTAGATTCTGAAATTAATCCAAAAATTCTTGTGAATACATTTGATGAATTAGAGCCACATGCATTAAAAGCAATTGAAAATTACAAATTTTATGGAATTGGACCATTAATACCTAGTGCATTTTTAGATGGAAATGACCCTTTAGATTCTTGTTTTGGTGCTGATCTTTTTGACAAGTCAAATGACTATATAGAATGGTTAAACACAAAGGAAAATTCATCTGTTGTTTATATATCATTTGGGAGTTTAATGAATCCATCAATAAGCCAAATGGAGGAGATATCAAAAGGGTTGATAGGTATAGGGAGACCATTTTTATGGATTATAAAACAAGATGAAAAAAACAAAGAAAATGAGAAAAATGTAATTGGTTGTATTGAAGAGTTGGAGAAAATAGGAAAAATTGTACCATGGTGTTCACAACTCGAAGTTTTGAGACATCCGTCTTTAGGATGTTTTGTTTCACACTGTGGATGGAATTCAGCTCTGGAGAGCTTAGCTTGTGGAGTACCTGTCGTGGCTTTTCCTCAATGGACCGATCAAATGACAAATGCTAAGCAAATTGAAGATGTGTGGAAGAGTGGAGTTAGAGTGAATGTGAATGAAGATGGTATTGTTGAGAGTGAAGAATTGAAAAGGTGTATTGAATGTGTTATGGATGGAGGGGTAAAAGGGGAAGAAATGAGAAAAAACGCGAAAAAATGGAAAGAATTGGCTAGAGAAGCTGTGAAAGAAGGTGGATCTTCACACAAGAATTTAAAGGCTTTTATTGATGAAGTTGCCAAAGGTTATTGATATGTGACTTTGTATCATTTGCTTATTATTTGTTAAGAATAAGATGAGATAGCTTCTCTGTTGCTCGGACTTTTGAAAAACGTTGACAACTGCATGTTGGATCCTTCAAAAGTAGTGCATTTTTTTTGGAAGATACGACATGAGTGAGACAACATAGGAAAGTTTTGAGCAACATAGGATAGTTAAGTGTTCTTTTTATTTCTATCTTATTATTGTGCCTTCAACTTTTCTAATAAAATCCAATTTGAAAGATTCATGACAAGTTATAGTAACGTTCTTGAGCATCACACTTCATAGATGCGGAGATTTGATTTTGTAATCCAATTTGAACTATCTAATATCTGAAATTCACTAGTCTAACTAATTCAGATTCATGTCACGTATGATCTATTAAAGGCGAAAGCTCTCTTTATCAAAGGTGTATTCAAGGATTTTCTCCATTCTTAAAACTCGAACTTGAGACTTCTGATTAAGGGTGAAGATATCCTATCCTATACATTCCTTCAAATCCCTCGATATTCACAGACATGTTATCTCAATTTCCTGCACTTAAACATTAAATTCAAAGAATTATTATGTATTTCATAAGAACAAGATCAATTACTGTTGTTTTGAACACTCCAAAAATGTTGTTGCATTTGTTGTCGAATTCTCCAAAAATGCACTGCTTTTTAATATCCAACATGCACCTATTGACATTTTTGAAGAGTCGAAGCAATATAGGTTACTACACACATAAATTGGTCCCCTACGCCATCAGTACAATTAACAGAAAATTGGATGTTGTCCACTCATTCATTATCTTCTAAACTCTCAAAGAATTAAAGATGATTTTCATGTTCGTATTTGTTTCATTTCCATCATTCTTATTTACCTCGAAAAAATGGCATCTTTGAATGATGATTGTCATGTTCTTGTTGTTTCGTTTACCGGACAAGGAAATATCAATCCATGTATTCAATTTTCCAAGAATTTGATCAAATTAGGTGTAAATGTCACATTCTCAACAAGCCTAACAGCTTTTAATCGAATCTCGAATCTTCCAACCATACAAGGATTAACATTTGCTCCTTTCTCTGATGGTTATGATGGCAACTTCAAAGGTCCCATGAACAGAATCCATGAGTTCAATGCTTCATTGAGGACTCATGGTACTGAGTTTGTCACGAATTTAGTCGAAGACAGGGCAAAACAGGGCTGCCCTTTTAAACGTATCATCTACACGACGTTAACTGCCTGGATTGGTTTATTAGCCAAGAAAATCAACGTTCCATCGACGTTTCTTTGGATTCAACCAGCCTCAGTCTTGAATATTTACTACTATTTTTTCAATGGTTATGAGGATTCTATCAAGAATTGTTCAAAAGATCAATCTTTTGAGCTTCCTGGACTGCCTTTGTTGTCTCGTCGTGATTTCCCTTCTATCTTGTTCAATGATTCGAATGATTGGACATTACTTGCCATGAAAGAACATGTTGAGTTGCTAAAGAGTGAGACTAACCAAAAAGTTCTTGTGAACACTTTCGATGCTTTGGAATTTGATGCTGTGAATGTTATAGAGAGTGTTACTATATCCGGAATTGGCCCTTTGATTCCTTCGGCTTTTCTTGATGGAAATGATTCTTCTGATACTTCATTTGGAGTTGATATGAGACGAAGTCTCGATAAGTATATGGATTGGTTGGATTCTAAGGCTAAAGAATCGGTAATTTACATAGCATTTGGTAGTTATTCTCAGATACCAAATCAACTCATGGAGGAGATTGCTCATGGTTTAGTTTTGTGTAAAAGGCCATTTTTGTGGATAATTAGAGAGGGGGCGAATGGCGAAAAGCCATTTGAAAAGTTGAGTTGCAAAGAGGAGTTGGAAGAGTTAGGGAAAACAGTGGATTGGTGTTCACAAGTGGAGGTTCTACAACACCCTTCGTTGGCGTGCTTCTTGACTCACTGTGGATGGAATTCGAGTATGGAGAGTTTGGCTTCGGGGGTTCCTGTCGTGGCGTGTCCTCTTTGGATCGATCAATTAAGTAATGCGAAGCTTATTCAAGATGTTTGGAAGACGGGAGTTAGAGTGAACGCCAACGATGAAGGTGTTATCGAGAGGAATGAGTTCGCGAGGTGTATGGAGATTGTGGTGGGAGATGGGGAAAAAGGGGATGAAATAAGAAAAAATGCTAAGAAATGGAGGGATTTAGCTAAGGATGCTATGAAAGAAAATGGTTCATCTAATGTCAATCTCAAGGCTTACGTTAATGAGATTTTGCTTGGGGAATAAATCATTTGTAAGGCCAATTTACGTTACTCAGAGTCTCCAAAAATGTTGATGCATCCGTTTGGCCATCTTGGACATCCCACGACTATTTCACCAACTCAGGTATCAAGTGATTCTTCCCACCAAGGCATTTGATATCAAGTGATACAGTCGATTTTTATAAATAAATAGTTACATGTTTGGAATAAAAATAATAAACCATGACATGTTATGGTGCAAGTCTAGCTTAATTTGAAACTTGTGTAAATACTCTGTAGTCTGCTTTCTTTCTGTTCTTTTTTTGGTTGGTTGGTGGTGAGATTTAAAAGTACGGTTCAACCGAACTTAGTAACTTAGACTTAATATATTTGTCGAGAAATCTATTAAATATGCACAAATACTAAATTTTGAATCCGGTAAATCAATAATAAGTGAATTCACTTATATTTCAAACACATAAAGTTCAAATCCTGAATCTGCCTCTTATTATATGAAAAAACTTTTAGTAGGCATAAGATATTGTTATAGTACAAGTCATAATTTGAATCTAAGTTGCTCGAACTCTTCAAAAAAAAAGTCATCAATCACATGTCAAATAGCAAGCATCTGGCATAGGCGCGACAACATTTTTGTAGAGACCGAGCAACGTAACCGTTCAAACTCAAAATTTTCTACATTCTAGAGGAAACCCTTGAGGAAATCTTTTATAATCAGTGCAATAATTATAAATCATATAATTCCTTTGAACCCATCTAAGTCTTCTTCTTCCATTAGCATCAAGTTCTTGATTTTGCCATTTTGCATCTAAAAATTGAGATTTGTTAAATTTTTGTGCATAGAAATTTCTGTAATAAGCTGTGAATGGTGCTTTTGACCAATCAGTTTTCACTAGTCCACCTCTTGTAGCCCAATCATCAGCATTCCATAGACTTGAGTAAATTTTCATTGGTTGGTTCTTGGGAAATGGAACACCAAGTGATTCTGCATTCTTGAATACTCTAATTGGAGTGTTGTCCACCAAGAAACTAAAAAAAAATAATTAATCCAAATAAACAATGAGTAATGATTAGCCCATGCACATAATAGGAGTTAGAACAGTTTCGTTGGTTCAACTGAACTCATTATGCTCTGTTAGAATTAAGTTAGTGTATTATCTTAGGTAATCACTTTTCTTGAACAAAAAAAAATGACTTTTTAAGATAATAAGTATTAGTTGAGTCCTCGAACTAGCTATCATATGAAAAGAAAAAAAAAGGTTGATATACACTCACATATAGTCCTTCTGTTTCATTTTAGGTGACAGTGTAGAAGCGTACGAGCGTCAAACACCTTAATTTTTTTTATAAGAATTTGGTTATGTTACTCGAACATTGATACGTGTGCAAATGCAATAATTTATTTAGAAAGTCCGAATAACATCGAAATAGACATAAATTCTTTAACTTCATTTAAATAAAAGTTATGTATTTGGAGACTATATTAAAAAAAAAAAACTACACAAGACATAATAGTTAGTAAAATATAATTTGAATCACAAAAAAGAAAAACTCTTAAACACCCCAAATAGTACTAATATTGACACATAAAATGAAACAATTGATGCTTATGTGTGTATATGAATAAGAAGATTAAATTCTAAACACGTTTAATTACTTCAAATTCTGAATTTGCCTATGATAACATATAGTGATTTAGGTAGAGAAGCGTAAAATGGAATTAAATTTTGGATATGTATATATAATAAGTTTGTTCTTACATGATGTGTTGTGGTTTCCATATGATTGAGTAGGTGTGGAAGTTCTTGGTAGGATCAAACCATAGGTAAAATTGCTGCTCTTTGTCTCCTTTGCCTTGGCTAAACACATTTGTATGAAGAATATATGGTTCACCACTAACATTTCCTAAGAACTCAAAATCAATTTCATCATGAGTTGGTCCTTTAGAAGATAGCTGAAAAAATAATCCAAATAAAATGTTAGAAATTGTTCTTTTGTTTGTCTGCATAACAATCATCATCTATAACAACATTTTATAATAACGATCAAAGACATTTTTCATGTCACGTTATGTTATATGGTTTTGTTTTCTATAACAACATTTTATCATGGTAACGAAGTATTCAGACAAGCAATGTTATTACAAAAAGAATTACATAGTATGATGTGACAGTGCCAGCAGAATTTCCGGTAACGAGTTTGAGTTGCATGTCGATTCTCCCAAAAAGATAATCTTTTTTGGATTGAAAACCAGAGCCAGAGAATTTGTCCATAGACAAAGAAAGAATTTGGCCTCCATTGAAAATCTTGACTCTATTGCCACCCCAATTAAAGTCAAATTCTTGGATGAAATTTCCACCACAAGAAAACATGCAAGAATTCATAAAGACTAAAAAATAAACAACACTTTTGGTAACTCATAATGGGAAAATTCCATTTTTTTTTCTAGCAATAGATAGAAGTGAAAAAGTTTTTGATTAATTTTTAAAAAAATTGAATTTAGGGTTTTTGTGATTTACACTTGTGTGGGAAAATGGGGTTTAAAGTGGACAAATATTTATAGTGGATAGAATAGAGGTGAGCTATAAAGGAGAGGACAAAATGCTTGTGAACTTCTTTGAATTTTGGATTTTGGGGGTGGGGGGTGGGGGTATGGGGTGGGTAGTAAAAGTAACAACTGGTGCTAGCTAAGCATATACCATAAATGATGGAGACTTTATTTGTTTGGCATTTGATGGTTTAGGATCTTGGTGTGTTATTTAGGAGGGTGGGTAGGTGTTGTGGGAAGAAAAAGACACATTCCTTGAATAAATGTGAGATACCTTAACATATTTATCACATTTAATCTGGATAATTGGAGCGTGAATATTATGAACGAGAGTTTAATAGTAAGAATAGATCAGACTTCGATATCATAATAAGATAATAACTTCGTCTCTTAACATTAAAGTATGTTATATGTAGTTTTATCATGTATTTGTGGTAGAGATTGTTTCTATAATTTAAAGTTGTTATCTTT